GGAGACAGGGAAGAACCAGCTTAAATGTGCCTTCAGTGTCACTCCAAAGCGTTCCCAAATTATGCATTTACTCTGAAGGCCTCATCTTGGACACAACTGTAGGATTGAGTGGATGGGGTGGAGCAGATATTGTTGTGTTGAAGAGATACTGACGGCCCCCAAATTACAATTCCACTGATGTAAAAGATAAAACCACATCACACTTGGCTGTGCCTGTTTTAATGAAGCTGCCACACTTGTGCAGTTAATTGGGTTTTTTCCTTGGAGCCTGGAAGTAGCAGCTGGATGGAAACATCTGGCAACACGGCGGGAGCGCGGGCTGGGCTGTGACAAGAGAGTGGTGGTGTCACCTCAGGGGATGGCACAGGGAGGGGGGGAAGGCTTCAAACGTCCTCACTGATCCAGCACGAGGAGCTCACCACCTCCACCTCCCTTTCAGGAGGAGGAGCCTCTCCCTTTCCCCTTTTCCCCCTTATTTTCCCCTTCCCCTCATCCCCATTCCTCTTTCCCTCTTTCCCTCTTTCCCCTTTTCCCCCTTTTTTGCCCTTCCCATTTTCCTCTTTTCCCCTTTCCCATTTTTACCTTTTCCCTTTTCATCTTTATTTTCCCCTTTCCCTTCCCAACCCTTTCCTTCAAATCCCTTCCCTTCAAATCCCTTTTGTGGTTTTCTTTAGCTAAGCCAGGACATTTTTGATAAGTAATGAAGAGTTTGGAAGTTCCTTTTTCCACTTCCAGAAAATACTAACATCCTATGTTTCTGTGGAGTAAGTGAGGCTTGATGATGTTTTCGCTATTAGTTAATACCAATATTTTGCAATAGGAATTTTTGAATCCTGATTGCAGCTGAAATGTTAAATTTTAATCTAATGCCAACACACTTCAAATTAGCCTGTGTGGAAAGCTGAAGTGTTTAACTACACATTTGGAATATGTTATAAATATATAATTCATAAGTGCATGTAGAAGTGTACACACTTAAACACACACTATATATATTATTTACCTTATTGATATTTTAAATTCTATTATGTAAAAGAAGGGGTTTTTCCTTGTTATATGGTTGCTCTCCCATTCAGAGTAATTTCAGTTGAATGTTTAATGCATATGAGGCGTTATGCACATTATAATAATTATGGAATGAGCAATTTAGAAATGCTCTCTGACCAGTGGGTCCCTTTTTAATAATCTCATGAGCCCTTTCAGGTGGATATAGTGCACCATTTACTCCCCTGATATAAACCCTATATTCAGGGTCAGGCCATAAAGCAGCTGATACTGAGATATCCCAGCTCTTTTTAAAAATGAAAGCAATTTGCATTGAGCAGGAAAGGCAAATAAAAGTGACATTCCAGCAGAGCGGCCAAAAAGTATCTGTTGAAAACATTATTTGCCGTTAACTGAGTCTTGAAAATACCACTGGGATGGTGGAGAGCAAAGAATCTGATCTAGAGGAGTCTCTCCGTGTCCATGGCTTTCTTTGACATCATGGGAAGAGCTGGAAGGATCTGCTGTGCAACAGAGAAAATATTCAACATCACGTGGATCTGAAAATCCAAACCAGCTCCTCAGGACACAGCCATGGGAGCTGGGATTAAATCAGGAGTTGATGCAACAGCCTTCTGATGCCCTGTATCCATGGATAGAAAAATAACCTTGTATCTGGTTTTCACAGAATCACAGGATGGTTTGGGTTGGGAGGGATCTTAAAGGTCACCTCATTCCACCCCCTGCCATGGGCAGAGACACCTTCCACTAGACCAGCTTGCTCCAAGTCCTGTCCAACCTGGTTGTAATATCTGAATAAAAGTCTAGGACTGAGGAGTACAGTCTGATGATTTGAATCCACAACAGCTGCTGCCTAACAATTCGAGAATTTGATGGTTTGTGTTATTTCCTCATGAATATGAAGGCACTGGAGAGTAACACACTGTGATGTGTTTGAACAAAGGCAGCAAAAGGAAACCTCTGAAGAGTCGGGCTCTTCTTCAAGTCCAACCATTTGTTATTGCTATCACTAATATATTTGTTTCTATTGGTTATTATTTTTAACAGATTAATGAGCAATTAGTTCTTAACAGCATTTACACCATCAGATATATATTTAGTAAATGTTCTCTCTAATGACACTTTCTGCTCTCTGAAAAGGCGACACAACCCCGGACATCCCTTTACAGTAACAGCCACAGCATCTCCTCTCTCTCCTCTGTTGTCTCCTATTGATCCACACAATTCCTCACACTATTTTCAAACATTCCCCTCTTATTAAATAATGACAGAAAACAGAATTTCCTGCTCTGCATATCCAACCTCTCATTTAATCAGCACTATCCAACATTCCTGATCCATCTTCCAGTGCAGCCACTGATGCTCGGGAAGGGCATTTTGTTATTTTTCATCCAGGCAGCTCCTGCTTCCTCTACAACTTTCCATCTGACTCTTTTAATGAATTCCCTCTCCCAGTCAAACTCTCTCCCCCTCAGCTGCTCCTTTGCACATTTTCCCTGCCAGCTTTGCCTCCTTTCAGGGCTCTGTGCTGCGACCAGGCTGGAGAAAATGCTTTTACAGGCTCTGCCTATTCCTGAGAAAATGCTTTTACAGGCTCTAATATTCCATCTCCAACTTTAGAAGCTAAAATATTTTCATGCCACCTCTGCAAGCTGCAATTTTAAATGGATCTAATCGGTTCTGCCCTCTACCTTTTATAACTAGAAACATTTTGGAATGAAAATTGAGATATCCCATCCTTCCCTCCCTTCCCCTAGATCCTTTCAAGCAGTAAAAACAAAGTTTGCCTGACTTTGAGAACTTCCCCACAGCACAAAAGCCTTTTCCAAGAGTTTTTAATTGAAGCTAAGCATCTATTTAGGTTACAAAGTCCTATATTTAACTTGAATGGAATAATTCCTTTTCTTGTATTTAACCTTTGATCAGCTGCCTACCTTTGAACTCTTGGATAACGACCCCCTTCTTGTTATCCTTGTCCCACTTCTCCCGAAAGCTCTTGTGTAACAGCACCTCAGAAATCAAAATAGAGTTGCCTTTGGTGAAATAACTTTTATTTCTTTTCACAGGGATGGCTTCAGCCACTTTGTTTGTTCTTTTGTTTTTTTAACGTAGGGATCTGGGACATAACACTGTAGGATGTTTGCACAGTTTTAAATTAGTTAAGGAGCGAAAAATATATGTATAAGAGCTGAATCTAAACTGCCCACGTCTAGGACTTTCTAAATTTTTAACAAAATTTCAGATATTACATTTCAAATATATATGCAAAATATATCATCAAATTCTCCTAAATTAGTCACATCACCCAAAAGAACTTGTGGTTACACAAACCATAATTATTAAAAACAAACTCCATAAATAAAAAAATCAGCATGTTGTTAAAAATTGTGGCACGGTCTAAATTTTCCTAATTAAAAAAAAAAAATCAGCAGTATATAATTTAAAATGTTCTAAACTATTAATTACCTTGTTTCAAGTGCTTGCACTAATTTGTTGCTTCAGGACAGATGCAGGTGACAATCTTCCTTATTAATATTTGTTTCCAAATGAATTCAGAAAACAGAAGTGAATTTCTGCATTCTCAGTGCACAGACAAGTAAACACTCATCAATCCCCTTTTCCCCAAATAGTTTCAAACTCTCCAGATCTAAGTGATTTAAAATTCCTATGGCACTTCCAGACTTGGTGAACATAAAAAAGTGTTGTTTTTTTTTTCCTTTTTTTTTGGAAATATCCTTTCATCACACATCCCACTCCACTTCTTTTACTATCTTATCCCAAATGGAAAGTAAATTTTTTCTTACCTGGTGACATACAGAAATAAAAAAGAAGCTGGTTATAAAATTGCTGATGAACTCTCCACATTGTGAGTGGTCTAACAAAACCAGAGTGGAGCTGCACATGAGGACAAGGTCCCTTGGAAGGATGGAATGGCAAGGAATGAAGCTCCTGAGTCTTGTTTCAGGGTGCATTTTGCCACTGAATTTGTTATAGGAAAAGCTAAATATTTAATTTCAGTAGGTACACTAATTACAGCTGGATACCCCAACTCTCCCTATGCATATCCTCCTCATTTTCTCTCACTTATGTGGATGTTTATCGGCCTCTGAAATGCTCCCAAGGAAATTCCTTTTCTCTTTTATTTTTTTCTTCTTTTTTTTTTCTCTTTTCTTTTTTTTCTTTCCTTTTCTCTTTTTTCTTTTTTCTTTTCTTTTCTTTTCTTTTCTTTTCTTTTCTTTTCTTTT